GGGTACCCCCCGGGCTGATGAAGCAGCGGGGCACGGGGTACCCGCCCCGGGCAACACTGCGGAAGCTGGGGGTTCCAGTCACCCAGGTATCCCCCTTTCCTCTTCTTCCTTCTTTCTTTCTATATACCGGTCCATGCTTGATTAATATTTTCGCTTGTTTTGCAGAGATGAACTTCAGAGCATTCAACATCCCCACCAAGAAGACCGGTGGCTCCTCCTCTGCTGCCCCAAGAACCGTACCGGTGCAACAGGAGCCGGTGGAGATCAACTCTGAGGAGGAAACTCCTCCGACCGGTCAAGCCGGGAGGACCACAGTAAACCCTCCCCTAGACAAAGGGAAGGGGAAGGTCCGAACCAAGCACGCCGCCACTACCCACCCCTCGGCAAAGAGGAGGAGGGGAGAAAGTGTCCTGGCCACAGAGTCGCTAGAGGAGCTCTGGGTCAAGATGGGGCGAAAGCTAAAAGAGGTAACATCCGCCCGGTACACTTTCCTCTGTTTTATTACTTATTTGCCGTACTAACCGGTATGTTTGGTTTTGCAGATGGGTGAGGTCGGGCCTGAAACCTTGGGGAAGCTTGCCGAGGACTCCCCTTCCCGGTCACTTCAGCTGGAGGAAAAGCTGAAGAGGCTTGAAGCCCACAACCAGGAGCTTCAAGACCTGACCGCCCGGCAACTTGACGAGATGGCCAACCTCTCGGCGGTTGCCGGTAGGGCGAACGCGGAGGTCCTCCAGCTGAAGGAGGAGAACTCGCTGCTGATGGGGGAGGTCTCCCACCTGAAGGAGGAGGCGTGGGTGAAGGAGCAAGAGCTGCCCGGTCGGGCCAGACAGTGGATGGAGGAGAACCTGGTGGAGGCCGCCCGGGTGCTTACTTCCTCTAAGGAAAGGACAATGGAGGGCTTCAAGTTGCTGTACCGGTAGGAGCAAGGGAAAGAGATGATCACCCAGATCGGCTCCTACGGTTTCATGTCCGGCCAAAAACGAGATCGGGAGGCCACCCATGCGATCCTTGCCGACTGGGATCCAGACTTCAATGCCGAATCATACGGTCTGGCCCCCATCCCGGACGAAGAGCCTGCGCCTCCCTTTCCTCTTGAGTAATCTTCCCGGCTGCGACCGGTTGAATTATTTTGGCAAAACTTCAAACTCATTTCCCCGGGAATGCCCGGTGTAGTTGTAAAACACTTAACTATTTTGTTCTACTTTAATCAATGCTTAATTTCCCTACCGGTTAATCTTTCATATCTGCTTGCTTGTTGATTGATACTTTAATCTTTGCCTCTTAGAACGCCATCATAGGATACCCGACCGGTATAGTAATCAATCACCATACTTCCTTTGACCGGTACATAAATCAGGCCACTTCTCAATTGTTTTCGACCGGTGGAACTTCAAAGTTTCTCTTTGATTACTTCATCTGAAGGATTAGCTCAAGTAACTTTGACCGGTCAGATCCCCATTTTCGCTTTTCGAACGTCTTCATCATTTTGGCCAACTTAAAAAGTTTGACCGGCCGAACTTTACTTTCGCATTTTGGATATCTTCATAAATTCTTTAATTTGACCGGTGAATTCCAACTCCATGGTTTGACCGGTCAACTGCCTTGCCTTCCGATGAACATAGAACTTTCGAAGTTCTGTCGTGTCCATACCCGACCGGGGTATTTTTTTTTTTTTACCGGTAGGTTGTAGATGGAAACACCTGTAACCTAGAAATTCTTGAAGTATCCTTAACCGGTAAGAATACTGGAGATTTGACCATGTCGAATGGTTTCGAACCCTCTCCAAGGTTCAAATGCACCCTTCTTCCAGGGCCCCCTCTTCCGGGTGATTAAGTCTTTTAATGGCCCTTTGATTTCTACCATCCCAGGAAGGCCTTAGCTCACCCCCCCGTTCAAGTCTTCCCTGAGAAGGGGGATATAGGATGCGCCACGGTGGACGATCCCCTTCTATTTCTTTTAATGGGCATCTTTTTAGTCCCCAATCAATTTGACGGCGCCGGCTGATTCCCCGACACCATTCAAACCTCATGGGCCCGTGTAAGTACGGTTCGAACCCTCTTCCAGGTCCAGCCCTCTTGCAGGCATACCCTCTTCCGGGTTTTGATATTTTTTCTATTATACTGAGCAAGACCGGTATAGTAACCAGCGTGCCAGGTCCAGGCTTGTGTCTCAGTTGGCTTGGCCAAGTGGATTCGATCCACCCAGGAAGCCCTCCTAGGATAGGTTCGACCTATCAATCCTGCCGCTACCAAATAGAGTATTGAACATCATTGGTTTGATTGATAATAAAGTAGGCCTTGCCTAGTATTACAATCATTTGTAGAACTTGCGAAGATGATGGGAATTCCAGGTTCTTTCTACCGGTACCCCTTCAAGAGTTTCTAACCGGTATGTCCCCGGGCGAATGATGGCTCTAACCCTATATGGGCCTTCCCAGTTTTTTGCTAGCTTTCCTCCGTCGCCGGGTCTACTTGCTTCTCTTCTCCGTAGGACTTCATCCCCAACTTGGAAGTACCGCGGCCC